CAGTCTCCCTGGGGATTGGCCCACAGTCACCCAGCCAATCTTTAAGCCTAAAGCGGGATTAGAACTCAATCTCCCTGGGGATTGGCCCACAGTCACCCAGCCAACTTTTATGCCTAAGGTGCAGGGGTGAAATCAACCCACCTTCGCTACTAGTTTGCAAATGTAAGCATGTGCCACCTCTGTGCATGTGCCACTTCCGTGCATATGCAGGATCTTACGCGCATGCACAGTGTCAAAAATGGGACATGATGACATATGGGTAGGTGGGCGGAGCCTGCTATTGAGCCTGCCTGGAAAGGTAAGTAGAACAGCAGGGGGGGGGGGAATCCGCTGTGCCAGGCGATTTAGATTAGTAGGAAATCCAACGATTCTAGCTAATATAAATCGCGCGTCACAGCTGATTGTCAGAAATAACAGTTTGCCCGAACCGGTAGTGTTTTTTTACTACTGGTTCAGGTGAAATGGTAGCATTTTTTTCTACCGATTTGGGTTAATCAGTCCGAACCAGTAGCATTTGACCTCTGCTAAGGTGGGACTAGAACTCACCCTGAGGGTTGGCTCACAGTCACCCAGCCAGCTTTTACATTTAAGACAGGACTAGAACTCCCAGTCTCTCTGGGAATTGGCTCACAGTCATCTGGCTGGTTTCCATGCCTAAGGTGGGACTAGAACTCACAGTCTCCTGGATTGGCCCAGTGTCACTCAGCATTGTAAGGTTTATAAACTGTGGGGTCCTTGGTGCTCTCTGAGCGTGGTGGTTTCATTACCCAACTAGAGATAACATCATCAGTGCATAAGAAACTAAACAACACCATGATTATATTATCATTATAGGGACGTGGTGGCTCAGTGACTAAGATGCTGAGCTTGTTGATCAAAAAGGTTGGCAGTTCGGTGCTTCAAACCCTAGCGCCCTATCATGGAATGAGCGCCCATTACTTGTCCCAGCTTCTGTCAACCTAGCAGTTTGAAAGCATGTAAAAATACAAGTAGAAAAATGGGGAGCACCTTTGGTGGGAAGGTAACAGCGTTCAGTGTGCCTTTGGCATTTAGTCATGCCGGCCACATGACCACAGAGACTGCGCTGGCTCTTTGACTTAGAAAAGGAGATGAGTACCACCCTCTAGAGTCGGAAATGACTAGTACGCATGTGCGAGGGCAACCTTTACCTTTACTTATATTATCATTGCAAAAGAAGCTACGTATTTGAGAAAGAAACCTCAAGTATTATATCACACAAGCAATTTGGGAATACAAAATAAAGAGAAAGAAACTCTTACTAAACTCCCTCAAGAAGTACCACCCCCTAGAGTCGTGTTCAAGAATAGGTTTGAATTATCTATGTATTGCTGGGCATTCAGAAACCATGTTCTGATTTTAGGAATAACCACCAACTACTCCACCTGTACTCCAAGCATCAAGACATGTCCAGACGGCATTTGCGATGCTGTAGAGAGCAAAGATAAGAGAATCTGCCCTCAAGATTGCACAAGTATGGACTTCTTTTTTTCTTTTAATTACTATTGGCTTTGATGTCTGTTTGGTTTCTTTCTCTCCCTAAGTCAACGGGTGGTAGCATCTGGTGGATGACTTTGTCTGAGTTCAGGGAGGTAAGATGGGTCAAACCAGAGGAATGCTTTGATGGACAACTGCTGGAAGAGCTGAAGAAGCTTCTTGGATGAGAAGCAAAACATCTTCAGAGAAAAACCAGAAAGTTTCTTTCTTTCTTTCTTTCTTTCTTTCTTTCTTTCTTTCTTTCTTTCTTTCTTTCTTTCT